GGAGAACTTGATCCTGGGACAGATGGCACCTGCTGGTACTGGAGAGTTCGACGTCTACCTTGACCAGAACCTTCTGAACACCGTGGTGTCAGACAATGCCCGCCATGGCGTGATGGGAGCCGTCGGTGCCAAGGATGCGATCTTCTCGGATGGCGCTGCTACGCAGTATGATACTGGTTCGCCCATGCAGGCCAGTGCCTACATTGGCTCGCCCGATCCGGAATCGAACTTCTCCCCGATTCGTCAGGCAGGCGCCGAGACTCCGGGTGGTTTCACTGAATACCAGCCCAGCGGCGGCTTTGGAGGTGGTTTCAGCCCGGCGGCCACGAGCCCAGCTGGTTATTCCCCCAGCAGTCCGTTCAGCGCGAACCCGACTTCACCTGGATACTCTCCTACGTCGAGCTACTCGCCTACCTCTCCAGGTATGGCTATGACCAGCCCTCGCTTCATGACATCTCCTGGATTCTCCCCCGCCAGTCCTTCATTCGCCCCAACTTCGCCAGCCTACTCTCCTACGTCGCCGGCGTACGGGCAAGCCTCTCCTACGTCGCCTTCTTATTCGCCCACCTCGCCTGGGTTCTCACCGACGTCCCCGAACTACAGTCCTACGTCTCCCAGCTTCAGTCCAGCGTCGCCGGCGTTCAGTCCTACCTCTCCAAGCTACAGCCCGACCAGTCCTGCCGTTGGTGGTGCCCGGCACCTGTCACCTACCTCACCTACCTCTCCCAAGTACACCCCGACATCGCCTGGATGGTCTCCTACGAGTCCTCAGACGTACTCTCCAACGTCTCCCAACTTTGCCGGCTCGCCGACGTCTCCTGGTGGGCCTACATCCCCAGGCTACAGCCCGACGTCGCCGGCTTTCAGCCCTACGTAAGTGTCTCTCCGCTCAGACAGGGTACAACAAGATACTAATCTGCAATGCAGGTCTCCACGCCAGTAAAGTCCGAGCTTTCGTGATGTGTCTCCTTACGACTTTCGCTGTATCATTGTATTATCACCTCATCCTGACAAGTTGGAAAGGGAGAAAAGAAACGAAAAAAACATCTTGCATTGTATGTTGCGGAATTGGTTGGTTATATCATGCCGAAATTTGGGCGTTTGCAGCCTGCTTCTCTTTCCCATTCCCATTCTAAATGTATGTTCTTTTTCTTTTTCTCTTGCACCAGCCTGCAGGTTTATTACCCTTATTCAATACTAGTTTTCCTACAACCAAGCCAGTCTGCTGAAATTGCGAATGGGTTTCTTGGGCCTGGTTTCATGCTTCTTCTTTTTTTGTTTTCCTTTCTTTTTTGTGTGCATTTAAAATACCAAGCGTTTAGACCAGACTATGCTCATGCATCATGACTTGATCATGAGGAATGAGTGGGTTTACCGAGAAATGTCCCTTTCGCGTCAAATTGCATGGAGGATGTTCCTTTCGTTCCTTTCAATTGCTGCGTGTATTTGCTGTTCTTGCTGCGATCGATGGCCGAGGTCTGCTCTGTACACAGACTTACGAATGCGGACGGGGCCATTGATGTGGAAGAGCTTATGACCCAATAAAAAAGACCTAAAAAATGTGAAAATATCCCATTGACTTGACCCGAAGATCAAGATAAGCTGGAGTAGAAGGTACAGTAAGTAGTACAGGTAGATGAGTGAATATGTTGTAGATGTGGTGGTAGGAATAGTAGTAATAAGTGACTTCGTACTGTCGAGGAAACGCCAGGTGGCCGCTTTCCGTTCCGCCTTGCCGTGCGCCGGAGATAGCGTGAGGAGAACCCATCTAACATCATCATCATCATCATCATCATCATCACTGATTGTCGGTTACCCACCCAGGAAGTGAGCTCAGAGTCGCCATGCGCCTCTCATTGCTCACCTCTACTAGAATCTTTCTGACAACATGAAGAACCGCTGGTTATGGCACATTCTGCCACTGGCGCTACGTGAGTGCCTCTGCTGCTCTCTGTTCTCCGCGGGCGGAGCTGGACCCGAGCTCGACAATGACGGACGCGATAGCCATGGCCAACTGACTGACTCCTGCTGCCTTCTATATCTAGTGCTGCTGCTGCAGGCCTTCCTAGTCGAATGTAATGATCAAGTTGAAGATCTATCCTCCACGATAGATGCTGTACATGATTCCCAGACGCCATTCGTCCAGTCCTCAAGCCGGTCTGAGGATGCCGAAGTCCCACTGGGCCAAGGTGAGATTGATCTGTCATCTCATCCTCATCTCCATCCATCCTCTACCGCAATCAACACCCGTGTGTGTCTAACCACGTTACTTTGGTCTAAACAGAACGCGTCGAACATGCCCTTCGAATCCTGCGAGACGCTAAACTCTCCGTTGTCGCCCCGGACACGAAACCCTCCGGCCTGGTGGGGTACGCCTGGTACTATGCCCAGGAAGCTTTCCGGATCCTCTTCATGAACGCCCCGAGCTCCTCGTCGGACGGCCACCACCGCCCTTCCACGCGAAAGATCCATCCGGATATCGCCAAAGCCGTGCACGAGCTCACGGTCGCCGCGGAGGAGGCGCACAACGCGGACGCGATGTTCCTGCTCGCGGAGATGAACTTCTACGGCAACTTCACGCACGCGCGCGATTTCCCACGCGCCTTCCACTGGTACCAGGCCCTGGCGTCCGCCACGGGCAACAGCACCGCCCAGTATATGCTGGGGTTCATGTACGGCACGGGCGTGGGCGGCGCCGTCGAGCGCGACCAGGCGAAGTCCCTCCTGTACCATACCTTTGCGGCGGAGGCCGGCAACACCCGCTCGGAGATGACGCTGGCGTATCGCCACCACCAGGGCGTCGGCGCCCCGCGCGACTGCGACCAGGCGACCTACTACTACAAGCAGGTGGCCGACAAGGCGATCGCGTATCTCCGGTCCGGCCCGCCGGGCGGCCAGAGCATGATCCGCGAGTCATACCGGTGGGCGGACGAGGAAGGTGGCGTCTACGGCGAGGGCGCCAGTGTGTCGACGGCGGGGCTGCGGGATTCGGCGCATTCGGGGGCTGACGCGAATTTGGAGGATGTGCTGGAGTATCTGGATCTGATGTCGCGCAAGGGCGAGCTGAAGGCTACGTTCAGCCTGGGCAAGATGTACTACGAGGGCGGGCGGGGCCTGCCGCGCAATTTCCGCCGGGCGATGCGGTATTTCAAGCAGGTCACGCGGCGGTATTGGAATCAGGATGGCGCCGTGAACCCCAACCACCCCCAGGGGATCGAGAAGTTGGCGGCGAAGGCGGCGGGCCATGTTGGGCTGATGTATCTGCGCGGGGAAGGCGTGGAGCAGAATTTCGCGACGGCGTCCAGCTGGTTCCGGCGGGGACTGGCCAACGGCGACGCGCTATGCCAGCACGAACTCGGCCTGATGTACCTGCATGGGTACGGCGTGACGCCGGACGCCTTCCGGGCGGCCTCGTACTTCCGCTCGGCGGCGGACCAGGACTTTCCGGCGGCCGAGACGAGACTGGGCGCCCTGTTCTTGGACCAAGGGGATGTGTCGACTGCCACCAAGTACTTTGAGCTGGCGGCCCGGTGGGGGTCGATGGAGGCGTTCTATTATCTCGCCGAATTGTCCAACAACGGGGTCGGCCGGAAGCGGCACTGCGCGATGGCGGCCTCGTATTATAAGATGGTGGCGGAGCGAGCGGAGGCCATCCATTCTTCGTTCGAGGAGGCCAACACGGCGTATGAGAGCGGGGACAAGGAGCGGGCGCTCATCCCCGCGATGATGGCGGCGGAACAGGGCTACGAGCACGCGCAGTCGAATGTGGCGTTCCTCCTGGATGAGCAGCGTTCGCTGGTCTCGTTGGATTCGATCCTCCCGGGCGCAGCCAAGAAGAGTCGACCGGCCTTACTCCGCAACGCCGCGCTGGCGCTCATCTACTGGACGCGGTCGGCCAAGCAAGCGAACATCGACTCCCTGATCAAGATGGGCGACTACTATCTTAGTGGCACGGGCATCGCGGCGGACGCCGAGAAGGCCTCGACCTGCTACCACACCGCCGCGGAAGCCCACTACAGTGCTCAAGCGTACTGGAATCTGGGGTGGATGCACGAGAACGGGGTGGCGGTCGACCAGGACTTCCACATGGCGAAGCGGTACTACGATCTGGCGTTGGAGACCAGCCCGGAGGCTTATTTGCCGGTGAAGCTGAGTCTGTTGAAGTTGCGGATGCGGGGGTATTGGAATTGGCTGACGAATGGCGATATCAATCCCATCCAAGAAGAAGAGGGTACGTTTTGATCTCACCACCCACCACTTGCCCCCGATAGGAAAATATGTAGTTGACACGAACCCCCAAACGCAGCAGCCAAACCCCACCGCACTTTCAAGGAGTGGATCGCCGCGTTCATTGAGAACGACGAAGAGGAGGAGGCCAATTACCGCGCGCAGCTGTACAAACGGGGTGAGGACGAGGAGGACGATCTGATGTCGGCGGGGCGCGGGCTGGATGAGCGCCATACCCACGATGATGGCTACTATGATGATCTGGAGTTGGATATCGATGAGAGCGTGCTGGAGGGGTTGATCATCGTGGGGTTGGCAGCGACTCTGTTGATCCTGGTGTACATGCGACAGCAGCGGAATCGCCAGAGACAGGACGGCGGGAACCTGGCTGTGGCTGGTGGCAATGGGAATGGGGTTGGAAATGGCAACGGGGTGGGCAATGGGAACGGCTTCGGCGATCGAGGGTTCTTCCCTCGACCTGGGGATCCAGAGTTCGCGCAATGGGCGGCGGGGGGGGTGGGTCATTAGAATAGTTGGTTGGTGATGCAGAAATTGTAGTTGTTGTTTACACAGTAGATGTGCAAAGGGTGTTTGAGCATGTGACTCGGGCTTATCGATAAGCGCAGCAGCTTTATCGCTCGCTCGTCCTTGATCTCCAACGGAACTTGAGGATGTTGTTGAGACATTGCAATTCTTCTGCTACGCCTCTCTGATGACTCGATACTAGATCCTACAACAGACTACACCTCGTCCAGTCTACTACACACACGAAGATGAGCAGCATCAACAAACGTCGTCGTCTCAACCCCTCACCATCCTCCACCTTAACCAAGCCATTCAAGTCCCCGCTGCGCAGACCTGCTCCTGCCACAGAAAACCCCCATGCGGCGGTGGCCGGTAGTCCGACACTGAACACTGTAGCTGCGGCGAAGGGCATGTTAACCCCGGGGGTGGTTGTCTCAAGCACGCGAGCTAACGGCATCGCTCGGCTATAGATGCAGGTACCGCTGCAGGAACCGATTCAGGTACGGACAGCACCCACCGGCTACAGCAGCAAGCCATCCATCCATAGGTATACTCACAGAATTGTCTTTAACAACTGAGTCCCAGCAATTGGCGCCGCCACAGCTACCACTACAATAACCGCAACGCCAACCCCAACTCCACGCCCCCAAAACCAGGCACGTACAGTCTGTCCCCTGCCTGTCCGCAAACCCCGGGCGCCGTCCGTGACCAGGAACTAACCCATCCACCTCCCCAGCAACAACAACAATCCAACCCAAGCACCAGCACCAGCACCAGCACCAGCACAACCCCCACTCCCACCAACCCTTCCTCTCAACCACGCCCACGCCCACGTCCACGTCCACGTCCCCGCTCACACCCACTTACCCGCACCACACCCCGCACCCCCCCCAAACCCACCCCCCTCTCCGCCCCCTCCGCCCCTTCCTCCCCGACAACAACCGAGCTCTCCGCCCTAACCACCCAAAAAGCCACCCTCTTCGCGCACCTCCACGCCCTGACCGCCGAGCACGACACCCTCCAACAAGCCCGCCGCATCGAGGCCCAACACAAGACCGTCGAGCTGGAGCGGCTGATCCACAAGTGGCAGGGGGTCAGCCAGCGCGCCGCGGAGGAGGTGTTTCTTGGGGCGAGGGAGCGGGTAAGTCGGATGGGGGGGTTGCAGGTTCTGAGGTCGGGGAATGGATCCGGGGCGGGCGCGGGGACGGGGTCGTGGGGGTGGGATTGTGAGGAGCAGGTTCCTTCGGTTTCATCTTCGACTGGGTCGCAGGGGCGCGATCATGGGGATGGGAAGGGGGGTCAGGGGCTGGATTCTGGTGGCGATGACGATGATGATGATGAAGAGCAGGTTCGTTTACCTGACGCTTTTCTTTTCTTCGGGGTTTCCTTTGTTGGTGGGCGGGGGAGAGTCGGTTGGTTGGTTGGTTGGTTGGTTGGTTGTGCTGGTGCTGGTGCTGACGCTGACGCTGGCGATGACAGGAGCTTACGATGGGGGTGATGTTGAGGATGATGAAGATTGATTTCGGGGTTATTGGGTTTGATGTTGAGAGGGAGGGGTGGGCTACTTAGGTTCTGGTGGTGTACTCGAGGGCGTGTGGTTTGGTTTGAAGTATGCTCAAGATGTGGGTTCTGTTCGGGTCATGTTATCATGGGATGATCTGGGTAAGTGGTAGGTTTGTGGAATGGGCTGTAAGGCTCCTCTATGCGGGTTTCTGATCAAGCAGGTTCATACTCGATGCGCTGTATCCTTCTTCTGTGATTGAAATACGTGAGGGCACTTCGCCATCAGAACGCTGTATTGTACTGTATATGCTAACCACCGTACCTATAACCCTGCTATTCCGATGATCAGCTACTCCTTCTCGATATACTGCTCGAAGATCTTCCCAATCTGTTTGGCACTCTCCTTCGGGAGGCGCTTCTGCCCATTCTCATAATCCACATAAGTCACACCGAACCGAGTCTCGTACCCTTCGGCCCACTCGAAGTTACTGCGCAGCAAAGTCAGCAAGCCAACCCCAATCCACCAGCCCAGACAGAAGAAAACTTACTCCATCAAACTCCACGCCATGTACGCGCGCACATCCACCCCATCCAGCGTATACGCATCCGCCATGGCGGCGATATAGTCGCGGAAATACTGCACGCGGAACTCATCCCGCAGCAGCTGGTCCACGGGCAGGTCGTTCTCCCCCTTGAGACTCGTGCCGTTCTCCGTGACGTAGATCTTCGGCTGCCCGTAGCGGTCGCTCAGCCACTTGAGCAGCTTCCGGAACCCGAGGGCGCACGGCCGCAGCCACGCCGACTGGGTCTCGGGGCCGATCCACTCGCCGGCCTTGTTCTGCAGCAGGATCTCCAGGTTCCCCGCGGTGTCGGTGGGGTCGGGCGCGCCGGTCTTGGCCCGGATGTGGTTGGCGCAGTAGTGGTTCATGCCGTAGAAGTCGTTGCTGCCGTGCACGAGGGCGCGGTCCTCGGCGGTCCACGCGGGCAGCCGGTCGCCCAGCTGCCGCACCATGCTGTCCGGGTACTTGCCGTGGTAGATGGGGTCGGCGAACCAGGAGATGGCGAACTCGATCTTGCGGGTGCACGCCTCCACGTCGGCCGGGTTGGCCGGGTCCCAGGGTTCGGCCCAGTCGCCTGTCGCGGTTGCATCAGCATCAGCTTCCCTGTCCTTCACCTCCCCTCACCCCACCCCTTCACCAGAGAAAGGGAAGGAACCAACCATTCAGCGTAATCCCAATCTCCCCGCCATCCCTGCCCTTGAACTCCTCCCGATACACCTTGACGGCGGCCCCATGCGCCACGAGCAGGTTATGCCCGACGATCCAGGGCTCGCGCGCCCCATCGCCGACGCGGCTCTTGGCGCGGTCGCTCGTGCGGCCCGGCGCGAACTGCCCGACGTTGTACCCGAGCACCGCGCTGCACCACGGCTCGTTGAAGGTGATCCAGTGCCGGACGCGGGCGCCGAACGCCTCGAACAGCACCCGCGCGTACCGCGTGAAGTCCGCCACGAACTCCTCCTTGTTCAGCAGCCCGCCGTACCGCTGGTCCAGCGCGTCCGGCAGGTCCCAGTGGTACAGGGTCACCAGCGGCACGATGCCGGCGGCGTGCAGCGCGTCGATGAAGGCGCTGTAGTGGTCGAGGCCCTTTTGGTTGATCGGGTCGTTGCGGCCGCCGAGGGGGATGATGCGGGACCTGTTTTGGGGGGTATTAATTGGGTGATCGTGGAGTAGAGGTCAGGAAGGGGCGTGTTTGTGTGAGGAGGGGCTTGGAGAGTGGATGGTCGTGGGGGATGTTGCCGGGCTAGCGATGCGGAGTGTTGTGAAAGCAGGGCGGGCTGGCTGGCTGGCTGGCTCACCATGAAATCGAAAACCGATACGCCTTGGCCCCGCATTGCTTCAGCAGGGCAATGTCCTCGTCCACCCGGTGGTACGAGTCGCACGCCACGTCGCCGTTCGACCCGTCGGCGATTTTGCCGGGGATCTTGCAGAAGGTGTCCCAGATCGACGGGCCGCGGCCGTCCTCGGCGACGGCGCCCTCGATTTGGTAGCTGGGGTAGATGATTCGTTAGTTTGATGCTATTGCGTGAGGATTGTAGGTAGAGAAGAAAACGGACCTGGCGGTGGCGAAGCCCCAGAGGAAGTCTTTGGGAAGGGTGGAGGCGCCTGCTGAACCCATGGTGGTTTGGTTTGGTGGTGTACAGTCCAAGGAAGTATAAAGAAAGAGGGGAGGGGGAATAGTTTGGAGAGTAAAAGCTCCCCGCGCAGTTCATAAGGCGTATTTATAGAGGGATCACCCCATACTTGCCCCAACCATCTACCACATGATGAGAGGGGTCAAGGTGACCGAAGGCACGGGCAGGATCCATCCTCGATCCAACCAGAGCATTGTATCTGTCTGATGCCGGTGGAAGAATGGAACAAAGATCGCCTTCAGTCTTTCCCACGCGGGGTCGAAGTCCGGCTAAACGGACCGATCCCCGAACTCTATCGGGTTAAGCGCCCCATCCGTATTGTATGTACCTTATGGCTTATGGTATCAAACCATGCAGAATAAGCATGCATAACTCTTTTGGATACTAAATCACAAAATGACTATCAGTCTGAAAACTCCGAGTAAGATGCTCCTCCTATCCCAATCTTATCACATGCGCCGTGCCAAGTAGCTGAAAAGAAAAACAACAGAATAATAGGTCACAAGAAGTAAATCAGATAAAGGAAAGCAACCTCCAGATCCTAACGCCCTTGTCGAACTGCGACCAAACCGACAGTTAAATAATCTCCATGGTGTCTATGTCTTCACCTTCAAACTCATCCGCATTCTCAGCAGCAACCCCACCACCCAGCAGCTGGGATGGCTTCAGGTCCTTGTGTAGCCCCTCGCCCAGCGACCCAACCAGCTCCAATTCCGGCCCCGCAATAATGCGCCCCTCCATATCAACCACTTCGCAGAGATCGATGATGCTCTGACGACTGAGAGACTTAAACCCGTCAGTACGTACAACACGACCCCAGTGGCTGAGACAGAACTGAGCCGCACGCCGCATCAGCCATAACTCGTTCGTTCGACCCGCCCGCTCCCAAATGATCGCGGCGTTTTCCACATCGAGCTCTCGGCTCAGGCGGTTGACACAGAGCAGACGCAGCGTGGGCATGTCGTACAGGTTAGCCATCACCAGCATTCCGGCGACGTCAATGATGTCGGAACAATACTCCGGGTGCCCCGCAATGCTATCAGTATACAGGTAGTAGATGAAGGCACGAACAACCGAGTAGGGCTCAGGGATGTGCATCCGCTTCGAGTGGTACTCGGCCATTTGCGCGGAGTAGAGTCTCTTGAAGTGCGGCCACCGCAGCTGCAAAATGATCCGGTGCACGTGAATGGGTGGAGAGGTGGCCGCGTTGGGCGAGAGAAACGCAGGCTCGGTCTGTGGATCCGAGTTGTCTTCCGAAGCATCATCCATTTCGAGGTGATCGGTGGGGTTAGCAGTAATGACAAAGTCAGCTCCACTACCGGACTCGGGCGGTTGATCGAACACGGCGGCGAGATCATGGCCTATGCCAGATAGGGGCATGGATCCGGCCTGGTCATCCATGTGCATTCTGCTTGGGTTAGGTGAAAAGGCAGACATTTCGTTGCCCAGCAAACCGTATCTTTCTAGGTCAATGCAAAGCACTTCGCTCATGTGGTTCTCATCGCTGGTCCCCGGGTTAGCTCCGGCGTCGAGGCTACAGCCAAGCAGCCAAGCTTTGGTACCGTTGGCATTGACGGTGCAGTAGTGCCATCTATACCCAGGCTTGAAGATCTCTTGGCCATCGGCGAGTCGCTGCCAGCGCAGCGAGTCAAGTTCCAACGAGGATAGGTTGCATTCATACGTGCGGACGGTCTCGGAGGGCGTGATCAGGTCAAGGAGAACTCCTGATGCGTACGACTGAAAATGGGTTCCAGAGAAGAGGGCGGGAACATGGGGGCCAGACTGGAAGCGCAGACACGAAACGGCTCCTGGAGCATTCGGTTTTCGTCGAGTCGAGGTCCTAGACTGGGTTCGGATCTGCACGCTGCCGGAGTTTGCCGCATAGTTGCTGGACCGGCCGGCAAGCTGTTGCGGGGGGCTACTAAACATAGTGTCTGGACTATAAGTCATCCTGCTGGCGGTCGTTGGGGATTCCACGGTACCTTGCGAAGTCGCCATTCCAAGAGACTGCATGTCTTTGAGATCCAGCCACCAGATATCCGTTGTCCGTTCCATGTTGGGGTCCAGGCCTCCAAAGATCCAGAGACGACCGCCCCAGACCCAGGCAATATGGTCAAAGCGGGCGGTGAACGCCCAAGTGCGAGACCAGGTCCAAGTTTGCAGATCCAAGTAGCAGAGCTCATCGAGAATGACGTTGTTCTCGCCCGTCACGCCCCCAATGATGAATAGCTTCTCGTCGTGAATCACCGCTGCATGGCGAGCCCTTCCTCGCGGGATTGGTCCACGGATTTCCGGCTGGGTCCAGTTCGAGGTGGGGATATCGAGAATAACAACATCGGAAAGGTACTCGCGGTGCTCGTTTTCTCCACCGAAAACAATCAGCTTGTCGCCTTGGTACAGACTAGCCGTATGACCTGTATGTGATGGAAAAAACATAAGTATGTACAGCCGTTTTGGTGAAACATCCAACGGAGTGCGGGGGAGCTAACCCATGCGAACACCGGGAATATCCCCATAATTATCAACCAATTCCCAGCGAAGTGTGCTCAGATTCAAGCGGAGGACATGGTTATAGACTGTTTCAGCCAGACGTGGTGATTAGCATAGAGACACAAATTATCCGACAGGAAATGGAAATGACAACCTTCATCGGTGTACTGGTCGAAGCCACCGAAAGCGTAGATCTGGTCATTATTGCAATACGTCACCGACGCATTGACCAGGCACGCCGGCACATGGCCCTGTGCCTTGCGGATGCTCGGGCGGTAGTCCGCACTCCCGCGACGATCACCACTGCCACTCGGACTCGGTGGCATAAGGAAAGTATTCTGTGATCTTTGAGGAGTACTTGTCGGTGGAAGGGAAGCCATTTGGCTTGCAATTTGAGGCCAAGGCAGTGGGTCACCGGAGGACGAAGAAGCGTTACTATTCCGAGCGATAGTGGAGGACGGTTGCCGCGCCATCGGGGCACCGATAAGGATAGGAGACCTCGGTCTGATAAGGACGGTGGAGAGACAGCACTACCGATCAGCAGCGATGGGATCTTACCAAGTACTGAGTAAACTCGGTTTGAATCAGAATCTCATGTTCGATCAGTCGGAGAGACAAGGACCGTTGAAACACTTTCCCCAAGATGAAGACGGAAAGTTCCGAAGGGCGAAGAAAGCCCTGGAGACGGAAAAAGTTGACGCTGACCGCCTGGCAAGACCCGGTCGATGCCTGATTGGGATCAGCCGCATGTCAGGTGTTCGCCACCCCGCATTGGGACTAGCGCAGTCGTACCTCCAGTAACCAGCGGTTGCCATGGGAAAGCAGAACTATACGCTTTATTTATTCCTCTCCCCTGGATCCCCTTCACTTCTCGAATCTCCCTCCCTCCTCTTCTCCCTCCATCATCCTGTTTCTCTTGTCTATCTGCTATCTGCTATATATTCTGCTGCATTCTATACTGCATTAGTTTCACTTTTCGACCTCCTCAGCCTGTCCGTCCAAGCCAGTAGTCGACTGCAATTGGCGTCACTACCGGAGCTTGAAGACCTGGTCTCCGTTGCATTGTTCGCACAATAACTATATACCAACATGGCTACTCCTACAGTTTCTACTCCCGTGAAGACTCATCATGGGATCTTCTCCACAAAGACGGCCGGTGGCCGCATGCCTCTGACGCCGTCTCCGCGCAGACGGGACAGTGTGGCTTCGAACCACTCCTCCCCTTTCACTCCCCAATGCGGAACTGGTGAGGCGGGCAAAGAGTTTGGCAAGTCTGTCTACGGCGGCAATCTCTCCTCATACTTTGCCAAGTCAGTCTCCAAGCCGACACGCAAGTACCGCGAATCTCCCAAATCCAACCTCTCTACCTCCCGCAGCTACCGGGAGTCTCCCAAGTCCAACATTGCCCGCACACGCCCTCGCAAGTCCCCTAAACACCTTGAGCTAGGCGTTTCTGAGTGGGCTTTGACGGGTACTGGACCTTCTTCATCACAAACTCCGTCTAAGGAGCGACTACGCAAAGAAGTTGCCCGCAAGGAAGTTACCCGCAAGGAAGTTCCTCGAGAGAAGGTTGCTCGCAAAGAAGAGATCCGGACGACCCGGACGACGAGGTCGGGAAAGACCACTGTTCGTATTGCGCACAATGCTGGCGACAGATTCATTCCCAACCGCACGGCCAGCGAAGGACTTGTGACTGCTGGAACAGCCAAGCCCGAGGAGAGTCAGCGCCCCAAGAGCACGAGCAGCGAGGGATCATCCGTTCTGGCGAACGCAGCAAGCGCCTTCAATATCGGTGGCCGCGGAAGCGAGGAAGATCTTACCGCAGCCCTCGAGAGCCTTGGAATCGATGACAGCGAGTCTACCACATCCTACACCAAGCCCGCACCTGATGCTGTTGCGTACGAATCCTCACTTGCAGATGCTTGCGGAGTGAACCTGAACACCCGAATTCTGGCTTTTAAGCCCCCGCCTCCGGAGTCCTCCAAGCCTATCGATCTGCGTGCTCAGTACAACCGTCCTCTCAAATCTGCGAAGTCTCAATCCGCCCAATTCCGCAGAAGAGTTCAAACAGCTCCTGAGCGTGTTCTAGATGCTCCTGGTCTGCTTGATGATTACTACCTCAACCTGCTTGACTGGAGCTCTGGCAACCAGGTTGCCATTGGTCTTGAACGTAATGTTTACGTTTGGTCCGCCGACTCCGGAACGGTCAGCTGCTTACTGGAGGCACCGTCTGACACTTACGTGAGCAGTGTCAAGTGGAGCGGAGATGGAGCGTACGTTGGCGTGGGCCTGGGTACCGGCGAGGTTCAGATCTGGGATGTCGAAGAAGGAACCAAGCTTCGCAGCATGTTCGGCCACGACTCTCGCGTCGGCGTTATGGGATGGTCCAAGCACACTCTTTCCACCGGCGCCCGTAGTGGTCTTGTCTTCAACCACGACGTTCGCATCGCCGAGCACAAGGTTGCCGAGCTGGTCTCGCACACCTCCGAAGTCTGTGGCTTGGAGTGGAGACCCGACGGTGCTCAGCTTGCGACGGGAGGTAACGACAACTTGGTCAACATCTGGGATGCTCGTTCCCTCAGTGCCCCCAAGTTCACCAAGACCAACCACCGCGCCGCCGTTAAGGCTCTCAGCTGGTGCCCCTGGCAGTTGAACTTACTCGCTACTGGTGGTGGCTCATACGACCGCCACATCCACTTCTGGAACACCACCACCGGTGCGCGCACCAACAGTATCGATACTGGCTCCCAGGTGACCAGCTTGCGGTGGAGCAACCACTACCGCGAGATTGTCAGCTCGAGCGGCTTCCCCGACAACTCCCTCAGCATCTGGAGCTACCCGACTCTGGTCCGGAATGTGGAGATCCCGGCCCACGAGACTCGCGTGCTGCACAGTTGCTTGAGCCCCGACGGTCAACTTCTGGCCACCGCGGCCGCGGATGAGAGCTTGAAGTTCTGGAAGATCTTCGAGCGCAAGCCTGGAACCAGCGCCGCGTCTTCCCGCGAAGGTGGTGTTGGCAGCAAGGCGCAGATGACCAAGTCCATGACCATCCGGTAGATCCGGTTTGCTCAGTCGTGACGACACTTGCTTTCTCGCTTTTTTTCGGACCTCTTACATGTTCAACATTATGCGCTTTATATCGTAGACCGGCGTTTGTCTCGATACCACTTACTTTTCCTGATGGAGTTTGGTCTTTTTGTGTGTATAGCGGATCTTCAATGGTGTGATGGAGTTTGAGTGGTTACTGGAAGGACAAGGCGCTGTGATTTAGGATGTTTGTCTTGTCTTGTCTTCGGTGCTTCAGGTTCTTGTATAGAAATTGGTGACCAATAACAACCCTTTTTTAATCATGATCCTACTGCTTCGTTGTTTGGCTACTGTCCAATCAAGGTTTCCATCATCAGAGTGAAACTTAGGGAGAAGTAGTGCTATTTTAGTCAGCCCGTCTAAGTTAGTCGCTGCTTCCATGATCTGGCTGGATCGTGCATCTTTTTGTCTGCTGCGCGCTGACTTACTGAATCCTTTATCGATCTGCAGTAGTAAGAGGTACGTTTCCTGAGGTAGAGTATTCCTGTGATTCAGCATTCAGCCTTCTCCTCCAGACTAGTTGATTTGTGAAGAAAGCAAAGGTATGCGTGGAGTGCTGCAGTGATTACCTTACCTAGCTGAGACTTTTTTCCTGATCCAGTGGTTCGATTGGCTCCTACCCGCGTGACTTGAGCTTAAGGCTCCCTGGAGTGCAGGAGAACAGAAGGGAGGTTGCTTTTAGTAAACAGGTCACTTCACAGAGTGCTTGAAAAGATGGAGGTACTAGGTAGGGGTTTCTGCTGGGGCCGTAAGGGCGCTTCGATAACGCCTTTGGCCAGTGGGAATCGCCCGCGGGACACGTCTTTGTGGATTTGGATTGTGCATTATATTCTACGAGTACTAACCCTTTATCTATGGAAATCCCGTGCCTCTGGTACTGGAATTACTGCTGGCGGTGTCATATAGCAGGAGCCGCGTCGATAGCTTCCCTAAATGGGGAACTGTTCCGATGTAGGTACCAGTATCTTACTAGGTAAGTTTCCTGAGTACCTCAGGTACTGTATACCCAGTACTCCAAGCCTGATCCGTATCCATCACTATCCACGTAACTACGTACGTAGTTACCCCCGTGAGTCAGCGTAACTAAGTTACCAAGTAGCATGTGACGCTTTCCCCCGGCGGGATATAAAAAGGCATCCAGGATCCAACTCCTCCTCCCTTCCGCCACCTTTCTTTCCTGGTGCTCGGCCCTGTTCTTTTCCTTTTTTGGACTGTGATGATGATATCCTGCGACACACAGCGACTGTACCAATCGAGTTGCAAAACTCGGAAAGGAACGTCCTGCTGGTAGTCTGAGTCCTGAGCCCCGAGTCTACGGAGATGGGAGTAGTTGTACAGAGAGTACGAGAAGGTCCAGGGGGAGAAAATATATATGCTATTACTTGCTTGCAGAGGGTATACAACTGATGGGATAATAATTCGTATGTACTCTTATCCTGATCCCATTGAGTCTTTGTATAGGACGTAGGTGTTTAGCCAAGGATCAGAACGCGTTGAGTGGGAGTTCTGGTGGTAAACACAGCCGTTCCGGAAGTGCGTGGTCCCCCTTCATCCGTAACTCACTCATCTATTCCTCTTGATTGTAGATGCTCGTTGAAACAGAGGAAGTGCCAGCTGTTCTCCTGCGGCTGTGGAACTACAAGGCATGAAACAACCAAGGAACCTCTTAAGTAAGTATCGTGCCGCCTTAATGTTGTGGTCACGCGGAAAGGTGTGCCAAAGATGCGGCGGGCTTAGGACTCTTAGGTAGAGTACTTTCTTGAAACCAAGTCTTGAAGAAAGACACGAATGAAGCTCAGAGAAGCAGGCATCAATACTTTTGAAATTCAGCTGCTGATGTAGAGCATCGATGCTTTGACTCTGGTGAGAAGTATGCGAGATTGATGGCCGTCTCCGCAGCAGGAATGAGAGATTGACGGCAGGTAACCGAAGTTCTTGATCTCGCATGACCTATGAGACCTTGTCGGCGATCCTGACGCCCACGGATCCAGTGATATCTTTGATGTCACTCAAAATGTCATCGATGTGTATAAAACACACAACATTCTGACGTTCGAACGCGCCGAGCCGCATTCCGACGACCTCCCCGCCTTCTCGGAAGATCCATGAGCCGGAATCGCCCAGCTCAGCAAAGGGCTTGTGGCCAGTTCAGGCGAGTGCGTGCTCCTAGGTCTCCATACTTGCCCAACTATCATTGCGGTCTTTGGTGCGGGCGATTCTCACGGATCTAGCGCCGTTGTAAAGACCTTGAGTCCACTGGGTTGAGCGGCCTGCTTTGTAGAGTTCCACGTCCGATTCGAGGAGGGTTCTGCCTTGGAAGTAAGTGGCATTCCGGAGATTGGCTCGCTCGGAGTACGGAAATTGGCTGTACAACGGCGAGCAGAGGTCAGCAGGAATCCTCAATAAACCGGTGGAGTCAATATAGGCTATGTAGGATCGATACCTTGTTGTGGAACGTGTGAAACGCCGCAGCACAGTTTCAGCTCATCTTTGAGAAACAAGATCGACACATCTCGCGCCTCGTACCGGGCACAGATGGCTTCGATCCATTTTCTCTCCGTGTGGTATTCTCTGACCGAGTCGTACCGGACGGAGACAAGGATAGTTATCGGGTTGTCCGCCGGACTCGGTGAGCGCCCGTACCTCCATAGGCCCAGTGATGTCCAGTCCCAAATGGAGCATTCGCGCAGGGTTTGCTCTCTCATGGCAGGCCATTCCGCGAATCTGCGATGGGTCGCCTGCGCGGGAGAGCAGCGGGGGAGCTTCTCCATGCTGGTGGATCTGGCGAGCTACACGTCTCCAATCCCGACTGTCGGGCGACTCTCGCTCAAACATCAACGACAACGGTAGGGACGACATAGGGTTCGGGGTTGATCTTGGACTGACGCCCGACGAGGGCAACGGCCTGGTATCTGATGCGCTCACTTCGAAGAATCTTTCTGACATCCTCCTCTAGTCTTTCGGTGTCTTTGAGAAGAGCCGACCGAGCTGCAGGGCTCCCTGCCCCGGCGGTTCTAGTGAGCGGAGCGGAGGTGGCCGGTAAGGAGCATAGATACGGGCCGCCAGCACAGTACAGGGACGTGAAGAATCCTGACGAATCGGTTTCCGAGTTTGTATCGAACAGGGACTCTGCACCGTAGGAAGAACTATAGCTGAGGGCATGCTCGCTTGTGCGAAAGAGAATCTCCGAGGTGGAAGATGTCGACATCATGTAAAGGTGTGAGGCGGGGAAACGGTTCAAACTGAAGCTCAACTCAGAGGTTGAATTTGTCTGACAATGATTCTGAGTGACCATCAAGAACAAGGTGATGGAGTACTCAGAGACAAAGGGCATAACGGGGGGCGCTCACTACCAGCGTGAGTCATTCACTATATCATTCCTATATCATCATGATTTCTAGATCATTATACACTACACCCTCAAAGTGGTGAATCGCAGTGGATCAATCATCCACTCCCCCAGTGAAAGGCTTCGGTATGATGACGCAACCCACCAGTGTAGGATTGATGCAGGCTTTGATGTTCTTGATCTTGGTTTTCTTGGTTTTTCTTTTTTTTCTTTTCAAGCACATTAGAAATTATCTCCCACCTCCCATAATGAACCTGCCTTTTCCTTTTGCTGTAAGACATTCCAAGATTGTTATTGGTCTGAGAAGCTCATCGCCCTCCACCGCATGGTGTACTGTACTAGGTATGCACTGAAGCAAAATGCATAGCTAAAGAAGAAAAATGAGAGCGGTAGGTATGTGAAAACCAGTAGAAAGAAGATTTTTGAAGTGGTGTTCTTGAAGTGTTTCCTAGCGCGCCATAAGGCATGAGTTCATCAAATGAAGTCGAGGAACTAGAAGTAGTCAACACCGGATCCCCAATAGGTTGGAAACGTATAACCAATTCCTAGATCCTCGCACCTGCCCCCGCAATTACTCAACTCTGAAGGCTACGAGTACTGCGTCATATAAGATATAGCCCTACTCGCCTCAGAACGCTGTATCGATACATAGGTCCCAGTCGTTCAGTAGAAGATCCCATTGTATATCATCGATTTCCGGCGCCACGGCAAACAGATCAGACCATAACTGACCCCAGCTTTCCTCCTCGGCTGTATTAGTAGCAGTAGCATCCTGCGTCATGGAATAATTTCCCATAGTCATATTATCATTTGAAAAGTGTAGAGGTTGTGCATCTGCTTCAGCAGCGCTTACCCTCCTAGTCGTCTCTCCTTGTGAGAATTGACTAGAAGATGTATTGAATGCGCCTCCTTGGGACGTCGGCAAAACATGAGATATCGCACCCGGATTGGTTCTCGGGGGCTGTTGTTGCTCCTTTTGCGTGCTCTGGAGAATCGACATTAAGGTCTGAGTATTCCTCTGGATCGCTTCAGTCAGGCTCGTTGACAGGCGCTGCGATTGCTCTAGCATCTTGCACGCTTCCAAAACATCCTGCTTCCTACGGTCCGCACCGGGACTCCCCGGGTTCATTGACACGTCTGAGGCTAGAACCATTGCGGCGAAGAATACATGTTGCATGACCATCCAATAATTGGAGGGCTTCATGCCGACGGTAGAGCTGGCTTCGTCCATTGTGCGGCGAAGATCAAGGATCCGCTGAGCGAAGTGAAGACACGCCTGGCGGGAATACGCAAACCGAGGGTTTACTGAGGCTTCACGATGATATGGGCGGTGGAGGCGGCAGATGCGGGTGTAGATGCCTAAGTGGCCGACAATGCGCTGCCAGGCGAGGTATGGTCGCTCCATGATGATCTCACGGCTCTGCTGGACATGTTCCGGGTCCAGCCGGAGGAACTTCGGCATGGAATCGAGGACATTGTGCAGTCTGCGGTCTAGATCAAGGACTATATCGTATTCAGGCATCTCGTTTTCCCCTAAGAATATAGAGGAGAAGGCGTCAACGATTTGCCGGCAGATCTCGGCAAACTGAACACGCAAGATGAAGACGGACATGGATGTTGGGGTGGTGAGGGGCAACCCGCAGTCTGGCCCACTAGTCGCCAGGGACTCGTCGTCAACATTACTTGGAAGGTTAACTCTCATGTGTTTTGGGTGTAGTAGGTATGAGCCCTCTTGTGGCCCTTGAGAAAGTGATACTATCCTGCACGACCGTTAGTGCCAACAGTTTTAAGCATGCGCTATGATAGGCTTCACCAGTCGGATGACACGATATGCCACCATATTCGTCTCTGGACCTCGATTTCAACGATTTCGTACCCTGTGCGCTTCCTCTCTTCCTGACTTTTCGGAGAGTCCAGGCGATGAATCTGCATCGACCGTGCCATGAAGATTGCGCGCATACGAAGAGCCTGCATCTTATCAGAGAACCCGTCTGCGTGTGTCAGAACGTGACATAAGGTAGTTATGGCGAGAAGGGCCACAGTTGACGGAGCTATGGGTCGCGAAGGATAATCTAGCATGGTCATAGCAAGGCGTGTGAAAGTGGCGAAGGCAGTTCTAGCCTCTTTCTCTGTCGCTTTGAGACTTTCTAGGAGCTCAGGCGTCACAACAAGAGTGCTACCGGCATATATGCTTAAGAGCAGAGTGACCACGGTAAAGTTCGGTTCCTTGCCCTCAGATATGTCCCGGTAGGTCTCCTCCATCAGAACCCGCACAGATGGTATATGGAGAACACCAAGAGTCGGTTGAATAGCTCGGACGAATTGGTCGAAAAGTAGCCGTGCTTGCTCCACCGGGGGAAGACATTCAACGATTCGCCTCGGGTCTTGCATGCAATCATCGAATTCGACAATCTGTTCTCGTAATGCTGAAGAAGATAGCTTGGCGAAAGAGGTGCCACCTCCACCTTTTCCATACTGTATCCAACGATATTTCAGCTAGCTGTATAGAAGATCTGATGACCTGTACATACATTATCGGTCCTATAGCCAGAGGCTCTGGGGCCTAGGTCGATTGGAGCTGGTCTCTGTTTATGTGTCAGAGTAAGTACGGAAGACAAGGATGCGCCCTGATCACTTACACTCGTGTCATGTGTGGTCGAACCTTTGCCAAATACTGCCTCTTCCAGCTTACGTATTCGATCCACTAGACCAAAGGATTCATCATTGTTGAAGTGGAGGCTTGGTGCAGTATCGCCTTCTGTTTGGGATACAGACAGCGGCGACATCACAGGGCCTGTTGGTGAATCGCTAGCTGTACCATGTCTTGCTGGGTAAGTCGGGAGATCTTGAGGATCTAGCCCGGAGTTGAACTGGCAGTAGACTTTCCGTAGCTTGCAATTGTTGCAAGGGTGTTTGCGATCACATCGCCATTTCTTTTGACGGCAATTCTGGCATGATAGCCGTGGCTGTGGAGTCAATCGCTGCACCATAGTATGGGGCACACCATCATGTTTTCGTTTATTGGTAGACATAATGTGAATGGTCCCGTTGCCGTGACATTCATATCAAGTATAGCGTGTCCCTGCCAGGGAATCCGAGACTGGAATTGGAAGCATTGCGATAAGGCCGGGGATCAAGACTCAGTAGATGGAGAGTGGAGAGGGACGAGAGAGCTGTCCCCATACGGCTGGCGGCTCCGCAACCCGCGGGCGGTTCCTCTACCTTGCCGAATACGGGAAAGCCCCCCGCGGAGCAGTTTGTGCGAGTACGAGTACTCCGTACGGAGTGCTAGAGTTCTGTATGGAGAATGAAACTGCCTGCTCTTTGGCCAGGCCTACCTTACCTGACCTTAGTTCTCCATAGTTCAATAGTTATCTGGAGGCTAGCTAGGCATTTCCTCGGCATAATTCATCGATTAGAGTGAGCAGAATGAGAAGAACCCTGTAAGAAGATATTGCCAGAATGAGTGGCTTTGATATACAATGTAGATCAGTATGCTAGAAGTTATCAATTATTTATTCTTGGTGTCTTTGGGCGAAAAACAGTTACTTGGGAGTGAAGATATGAATCTAATAAGATGGATGCAGTGGCGATAATTGCTAAGAAATGCTAAGAAAGGGTAGGGACTCCCCCGGATAACCCTGGACGGGACTAGCGGAGGGGGTGACTAAGCAGGCGGGAAGAGAGGCGGATTTCGCCCGGGGAAAGCGACTTTCACCTCAACCACATCCCTCTGGCACATTGATTGACCTTTCTTGTCACCGCCTGGCCCTTGACTCAAGCTCCTACTCCATCTTTGCTTTTCTACCGCTCTACTGGTTCTGACAAGGCAAACGGTAGTCTCACAAGATAGGACCACCCCCGGCGAGGACGTGTTACTGTAGCGGGCGTTGGAGTTTCGACTGTCGCATGAGCCCTTGGCAAACAACCAACGACGCCTGCGACTGCGACGCTTCACCTCATATAAACCGCCTCTCTCACCCACGCCTTACTGTCGGGATATTCTAGACTCCCACTCTTTCGTGCTCCACCGTCCTTTAGCAACTCTTCATTCGCTTCCTACTCTTCTCCGTTTTACCTAAAACCAGACAAAGATCCTCTGCGAGGTCCTGCCCCAGCGACCATGTCAAACCAGCAGGTGGTGAGTATTCGTCCGATATCTACCCCTACCTGGCTTGTGAGCTTTGTCGAGTATGGTGGCTATGCTTGCATGCCATTGAATAGTCTCAATGATATCTTCCTTTCCTTTTGAGGTCGTTGGCTGATACCTGCCACCAGGGCATGGTGTTCGACCGTGTCATCCAGGAGGTTTGCGATGGCTCTCAGGTGGACTTTGAAGAAAGTGGAGTGGATCAACAGACGCTTCTAGATCTGCGCAGAGTGAGTGATAAATCCAGTTTCTGAATTTCTCTCCTTGGATGAAAAGCAAAGCACGGAAAATGGGGATGGCATGCTCAGTGGAAGAGGGGGAGGAGGGGGTGTGTGATGAGGTTTCCCAAGCGGGGCCCGAGAGGAGGTGCGGGAAAGGGCAGTCAGTGGATGCGCGGCTGGGGGGAACTGCTGGCTTTTGAGTCTCTTTTTATACCGCGCCGCTTTTACCCGCCCGTCGCCCTAGTTTGCCAAGCCCACCTTCTACTTCCCTTCCTCGCTCTCCCTCTTTACCCCGAATTTCCCCTCACTATTAATACTTCTTGGATTCTCACTGCGCTGTCCTTGCTGGGAGTGTATCTCAGTCAACTACCGTCATCGATTCTGCATTATTATTATTATATTCGCAATCCACTGACTTTTCCTATCGCAGAGCTGGCAGAAGAAGCTATCTTCGTTGGGCGTCGCTCATTTCCCTTGGGATCCCCCACCACCGCAACAAGCCCCTCCCAGCCAAAACCAGCAACAAATACTCCCTCCCACTGCCACCGTTCCCTCCAACGCTCCTCGTCCTGCTCCGTCTCCTCATCCACCGCAGCAACATGTTCCTCCTCCGCAACAACCCATTCCTCAGTCCATGCCCACCACGGCTTCCCCCATGCAAGCTCCGGCCCCGGTAGGTGGCCCGCCTCGCCCCATGGGCCACCTTCCACCCATCAAGACGGAGCCTGGGGTCAACAACCAGCCGGGGATGATGCCCGTGAACAATAACGGCAACATGATGATGCCACCCAGTGGCTCAGCCCCCCAGTCTGCCCAACAACGGGCCGCCGACATGCTCCGTCAGCGCTATGGAGATGCAGCTGCCACTTCGGTCAGTCAGCTGCAAGCTCAGTCGCAGGCAGCGATGAGCATGCCAGGTCAGCCACGCCCACCAAACATGCAGCATTTGCCGAATGGTCAGGCGCCTCAGATCAAGCAGGAGCCTGGCTACCCACCTGCCCCCCGTCCTTCCTTGGGGAACGCTCAAACCGATGGTGCTGGAGATGCACTCTCGGAGTGGAAGGCAGAGGTCGCTCGACGGCGTGAAGCCGCGCAACGTCAGAACGGAGAGGGCGATCGTCTCTTGCGAGAGCACCTGAAACAGCGCATGCTCCAGTTCGAGGGTGGAGGTCTTATGCTACCTTTGGAAGAGCGACAAACTCCTTCGGCACGTGGCCTTTCGCTCAACTCAACCGATGGAACAGGAGCGCAACCTTCGGCTGTTCCCAAGGCCCAGTTCGATGGTCCAGGTGGGGATGATGAAAGAGACGAAGATGACGAAGATGCCATCAATTCTGATCTCGATGACCCGGACGATCTCGTTGCTGACGAGCACGACGGCGACGAGTCCATGGGTCAAGTCATGCTTTGCACCTACGACAAGGTACAAAGGGTGAAGAACAAGTGGAAGTGTACGCTAAAGGACGGTATCCTGACCACTGGAGGCAAAGAGTGAGTAATCGATCTCATTTCGAGGGGTTGATCTCGGCTAACTAGTTCTAGATATGTCTTCCACAAAGGCCAAGGCGAATTCGAATGGTAGGCCCGATTTACGAATCGGATCGCCCAGCTCAAGAACATGTCCTGCTCATGCGTCTCCTGTTTCTTTTTCCTAATTCCCCGGTGCTTTGCCTATTTCTCCTGCGATCTTTGATGTAGAAAACCAGTTATGACACCAATATATGATGAAGAATCAGCCCATTCCACACGTTCGGGGACTTGGTCAGTCCAAAGTAAGCTTCCCCGTGACGTACGTAACTACCTTACTACATACTACCCTACTGCTGAAAGGGATGGATGGATCCCCTCAATCTCAGGTGTCAATTTTTCTTAGTTTCTTTCTTTCCTTCATCCCACTTTGGATGTATCGTGGCGCTTGTTCAGGTGGGACGGCAGTCTCTCTTCTGCTCTATTCGTTTCCCTGTTTCCCCCTCGCTTGCAGTGCTTTCATGCTTGTTCCTCATCGAGATCCTGTACTAGATTACCTCAACTCGAATGAATATGACGTTCCCATCTCGTCGTATGTGTATCCACTTCAGTAATCGGTGCCCCAACGTAGTGACCCCGCCAAAAATCTAAGTATGCCACGAATGCGTGCATGGCCCCGCAAAAGTGACCACGGCTAGCGTTCGATCCAGCTCTTTGTGTATAGGTCCCTCGGATGTACAGTACAGTACAGTACAGCCCTCAGCCCCGTAAGCTAAAGCTACATGTCGTTTACAAGGTGCCCGACAAACTCGGAGAACTTCTGGTCATGCCCCCGCCTCCCTCTTTCTTCTAGTAGTAATGGTAGTGATGGTAATAATGGCAAAGATGTAGTTGGCGAGGGCTAAGATGCTGACCGCAGACCGCTAACCGCTGGCTGCTGACTCGCGCGAGCGTAACGAGGTACTGCTCAGTGATACTGGCTCCATCACCTCGAGTGGCTCGGGAACCCTAGCAATATGCCGCTCTTGCAGAAGCAGCAGGAGACCGTACAGGCCTCAGTGGGTCGGTGGTTGTAGCAAGCATTTCATGAATGTGGCTATCGAATAGTTCGGAGTGGTTCGGAGGAGGGCCGGAGGGTAGGGGCTAGATAGCGTCTACGAAATCGCCTGGGTTCGCCCTTGCCTTTCCTTCTGGGATTTCTCCATGATGTGTCAATGAAGTTTGCGATTCGGAAAAGAAAGAAAGGAAGGACGGATAGGAAAAATAGACCTCTTGATACAGACTCGATCGAAGAACCCCTACTACAGCTACTTTCAACTTCGTCCCTCCTACTCGGCTGTTACTTCTCTCCTCCAGAACGAGAAGTCTTGGTATCTTCTTTTCCTTTGATTGAGGATAGAAGACGGAAAATGTTTATATAAGAATGAAATTCTGTCTTGCCGGTTCTTTCTCATTTATAATATAACCCAGAAGATTGGACCGCATGACGATATAAGCAACAAGGGGAATGTAACGTGGATCTGAACGAAAAAGGAAGAAAGCAAAAAAGAAAAGAGGAGATAAACAGAAAGCAACGACAGTTCTGCATGTTTTTCTTTTGGACCCCAAACACACACAAAAAAAAAGCAGACCCATTGAAGAAGCAACACAAACTCCAAACAGCAAGACATTGAAGACCGAGAAGGAAAACATTCATACAAACCGGCCGACAAGAGTCATTGGGATAAGAGAGGGGGAGGCATAATTCTTTCCAGGAATGTCTTTCAAAAGGAAGGAAAAGTTTTTTGAGACTGATCTAAGACTAGATCAAAGCACGGTCGTCTCCCAGACCGCAACTGACTTATTGACAGACGTGAGACGTTTCATACCATTAACTCCAAGCCACCATACCGGTCATTAAATCGTACTTTCCGCGCGCGACGACGGCCATAAAACAAAATTCGTCGAGTCGAAATTAATGGGGGAATAATGAGATTGTAAAAGAGAACACGTCGCTATCTTCGTATTGCTTTTTTGCTTTTTGGTTGTTGAGCGGGACTAGAGGCAGCGCAGCTATGGTCTTAGAGCAAACCCTCCTCACCGATGCCAGGTAGGCCAGCCCCAGCAACGTTGATATTTTGCCCCTGCATGACACCCCCGCCGAACGCCAAATTACGTCCTGCAGCAAGCTGGAAGTCAGGGTTGCATGGCGGGGAATGTGATTTGTGATACTTCAAGCCATTAAGGTTCTTGTAGCGCTTGCCACAAACCTCACAGCGATAGGGCTTCTCTTTCTCCATGCCAAGAGTACCGGGGTAAGGAGTCGAGGTCTCAGGATTCACGATTGAGAAGGTGCCGTCCGCGTTATCATGTAGCTGCTGGTTGTTGTGGCCGTGCTGAGGAAAGTCAAGTTAGCCTAAGCCTGGAAAAAATGAGTACAGATAAGATAAGACATACTGCTTTGTGGTATTTCAGGCCGTTCTGGTTCTTGTATGCCTTCTCACAGCCAATAACAGGACACCGGAAAGGCTTGGGCTCCTCATTAGGCAGAAGAGCGGTGGTATCAGGCACACCTGCCAGCAGTTGCTGCTCACGTATCCGCCGAGCAATCTCGCTATTCGGACCGTACTGAGCACCGCTGAGCTTGAAGTGAGCATTAGGTGTGTTGAGACCACCCGTGGGGCTAAATAGCCGCTTAGCTGGCTCGTCAATGCACAGATCGACCATGTCACTGTTACCAGTGAACCGACCAAATTGCGGTTGACCTTGCATCATAGCGTTCTGCATATTCAAATCGCCAAAGCCACCAACCATACTCTCGTCGAGTTCAGCCGGCGTGCCGGGGGCGGAAGAATCGGGGGTTGTTCGGAACTGCGAATTCTGAAGCGGGTTTGCCATCAAAGTAGGTGTATTGACAGACGAAACGGTAGGGTTGTTCTGCAGCGAAAGGGGCCGTCCGGAAGCGACAGGCGTTCCAGGCTGTGAGCCCTTGAAGCCCTGGTGGCCGGGAAGCATAGATAGGTTCAGATGCGGCACTCTTTGGTTGCCGTTTCCGAATCCTCCTTGACCTCCATCACGCACCTGAGGGGAGAACAGTTGTGAGGCGGCATCACTTCCGTCGCCGATTGTATCATCCAACTCCATATCATCGATTGTGTCCAAGTCGGAATGCTGCGGAATTTGTGGCGTTTGGTTCAACTTTCGCTGCATGTCCATGGTTCGATCCGGTTGTAACCCGCGAGCTTGGTTGGGAATCTGTTGGTTCTGCTGTTGCGCCATCACGGCCGCAGCCATAGCTGCTCTGCCATCACCTTGACTGGGGCGATGGCCTTGATGAGGTGATTTGGTGGCGTGGGCCTCTTCATAATGCTGTAAGAGATCGTGGAGTGTCGGGAGTGTCACCCCGCAGCAGGAGAAATCGCGCATAAAGTTCGCCTCCAATTTCGGCAAGTATGAAGAAGAATGGAACGAGGGCGACTGAAAAGTGAACGGTGATGTGCCGGTCATAATAATACTAGGTCATCGAGCGTCAGCATCGCGGTCATCAGAAGTTGCTTGTTGAGCCCGAATTTTATCCGGTGTTCGGGCGCAAGCAAGAAGATACATAATATCAGCCCGATTGAGGGGGTTACAAAAAAAAAAAAAAAGTGGCACGCACTCATCACGAATCCAGCTTCCAACAGACACCCCACCCCAGCTCATTCCACCGACTAAGCTTCCTGCTAATGACTCCCGCCGGGGATTATCACGGTTAGATCCAGACATTGAGATCGGTTTCGTTCCGTTGCCCCATTGTGCGGTAGCTGCTCCGATCGAATCCTTGCGAGGAGGGGGGGCCTTGAAGACGCTGAGTCCGACGCCATTCGCATGAGAGAAGCTAGGTGTTCGCTCTGCATTGTTCGCTCTTTGCAAAGCCGAGGTGAGGTTCGAAGCCTGCTGTCCCGGAGGGGAGACAGAGCTCTGGCGGGTGGCGATGTCGATGGGAGCGGCACCGGTCATGGTGGTGGTGGTGGTGGATGTGGTCGGAGGAGGTGAGGAAGGGAAAAGAGGAAAGTCGAGGTCTTGGTGGAAAGGAGGGTGCAATTTTCGAGCGTCAAAATACGGTGAATGAACGTCGCTGAAGTCGAAGTCGAGGGAGTCTTCAGCCCACGGCAGATCCGAGACCTTTTCCTTATCCGGCCTGCGCAGCGATGGGCCAAACCCGAGGGGAGTGGTAACGGGGGTGGAATCCCGAGTAGAGGCGCGATCGTGATCCCCAACAACGGAGGGAGAGTAATGAAGAGAGGGAAGAGGACTATGCGTTGCTTCGGACGAACCGAGCATGAAGAAGAAGAATAAGAAGATGATGGAAGGAGGATGATGGTTTAGACTAGAGACTAGAGAGACGGTTTTGGGCGGGTTCACAGAAAGAGACCAAGACAAGAAGAGCAGCCAGCGGTTTCCACTCTTTCCCCCTCGGATGTTGTCCCGCTTTGGCTGCGGAAACAGTGACGGATTCGGGAAAGGTGGCGGGACGTAACAATCACTCGGCAGTAAGTAATTATGGCAGTGGAGTGGATCGAGTATAGATTGTCCGCCGTTCAGGGCAGGCAAGCAAGCACGATAGTAGAAGTAAGAAGAATGAAGCTGGGGAGTGAGAAAAGGAGATTGATAGTAAGTGGATAGTAAGAAACACAATATGCAACACCAGAAACCGAAGGGAAGAGAGAGGGGGGAGGAAGAGAGAGAGAGAGAGATAGAGAGAGAGAGAGAGAGAGAGAGAGAGACCGTAGGAAAAAAGAAAGATGAGACAGTAAGGTGAATCAACTGCAGGCCAAGGAGTTTGGCAACTGGCGGCCAAAGGGATGGGAAGTTGTTTCCAGTGGTAAGATACATACATTACATGTGAATTACCGCATACCGTAACCATGACTCGACCTCTCGGGATGATTCATACACTCATACTCATAGATGACTAACTCCATTTGCCTCCGATCCGCCCATCAGTCATCACTCATCTTCATCAGCCTTTCCCATACTGCAGTTGCTGAACCCATTCCTTTCCCCGCCGGTCCGCCCATGAAACACACACTCACTTGAAACTGGAAGACTGACAGGGCAGGAGCATTAGTCAGAGGGAACCCGCTGGGTGCCACCGCCGCGTTCATTAGTACGTAGTCTCTTCGTTGCCCATTTTCGAAATAGTGATCGATCCATCAGCTGAAGCTCCATCACTAAAATAACCCCAGGCACAACACAACAGGAAGATATTCAAGAAAAAAAAATCAGTTAATTGAATAGCTTCAAGATCCATCTGAGCGAACCACCAACAGCGTTCGTACTTTTCATAGTTTAGGGAAGTTTAGGAACCTGCCTGATGCTACTACTAGACTACCTAACCTAACCTATAAGTGGGACCATTAGCAGGCAATTAAATGGACACCGCTTGCAGTTTAGTGGCCGCGCTAGCGCTTCTTCGAAAAGTCGATGATGCTGATGACGGCGCTGGACTGGTGGAAAGCTGCTGCTGCTGCCGCGACTGCTGCAGGAGATCCAGAGGGGCGTCACCCTTGTAACGCAATCGTATTGATGGCTATCCCCACACTGAATCCCGGTGGTATTACCACACCT